TATATATATATATATATATATAAATAAATAAAGTATGGAGCTACTCCATAGTGTGACCCATAAGTCAATTTGTCTGGAGGTTTCTCCTTCATGATCTTGGCAAACTCTCAGAGTGCACACCATAAGAATTTTAATCTAGCATATCTGGATGCTTCCTGATTAAGGAATACATGACTGAATTTGATCGATCTGACTCCTAATATTGTTGAGACTTATACACAAAATTATCTGCTACAATGTCATTCCAGTCAATGACTACTTCAGCTTCAATCACAACAATACAAGAGCACACAACAGATACAAACTCAATGTAAACCGCTCCAAACTTGATTTCAGAAAGTATGACTTCAGCAACAGAGTAGTCAATGCCTGGAATGCACTACCTGACTCTGTTGTTACATCCTCTAACCTCCACTCCTTCAACCTCAAAATATCCACTACCCCATTCCTCAGAGGTCTGTAAGGGGCGTGCATAAGTGCATACTGTCCCTGTCCTATTGTCCTCATTTATTCGTACCTATTTCCTGTATTCTTACTCATGTTTATATTGATACCTATTATCTTGTAAGCGCTTAACAAATCAAATCAATCAATAAATAAAACACTTCTGGCTGCCAGTCTTGGAAAGCCTGAGTTATGAGATCCTGTGTAAAATAATCAAGGGAAAAATCATGAAGTATAAACATTCTTTTTCCACATATAGTATGAAGGGAACAGCGGAAAATTAAGGCTAATTTGTGTATTTTCTCTGCTGTGTAGTAAGTTAGTGATCAAGTTTGGGCATGGAAGAACAACTGAAGAAGAAATAATTAACAGGTAGTCCTCAACTTATGATTACAACTGAGCTCAAATTTTTATTGCTAAGCATGATAGTTGTTAAGTGAGTTTTGCCAGTTTTATGACCTTTCTTGCCACAATTGTTAAGTGAATGACTCAATTGCTAAGTTAGTAACATGGTTGTTAAGAGAATCTGGCTTCCCCATTGACTTGCTCATCAGAAGGTCACAAAAGATGATCACATGACCTGGGACACTGCAACTGTTATAAATATCAACCAGTTGTCAAGTATCCCAATTTTGATCATGTGACCATGGTGCAACGATTGTAAGTATGAACAATGCACATAAATCATCCTTTTCAGTGCTGTTGTAACTTCAAACAGTCATTTAAACAAAATATTGTAAGTTGAGAACTATCTGTATGGTCCTTCGTGGGATAAGGAATTAGTTTTGAAAACACAAAGGACCTTAATGCAGCTCCAATGCCACTTAAGGTCAGCGGGCTGCCTGAATTTTAGGACTGACTTACAATACTAAATCTTCAGTTTTGGTCCCCATGATATAAAAAAGATGTTGAGACTTTAGAAAGAGTGCAGAGAAGAGCAACAAAGATGATTAGGGGACTGGAGCAGTGGTGGTATTCAAATTTTTTTACTACTAGTTCTTTGGGTATAGCTTGGTGGACATGGCATGGTGGGCATGGCATGGGAAAGATACTGTAAAATCCCAATTTCCACCCTACTCCAGGGGAAGGATATACTGCAAAATCCCCATTCCCTCCCCACCCCACTAACCTGCTTTCCAGCTCCGTTCTCCTGTGCAAGGCAACAAAAGACCCAGCTAATCAGCTGGGACTCGGGAGGCAGACAACAGATGGGGCAGGGTCAGACAGACGTGGTATTTGCTGGTTCTCTGAACTACTCAAAATTTACGCTACTGGTTCTCCAGAACCCATCAGAACTGGCTGAATACCACCTCTGGACTGGAGGCTAAAACATATGAAGAATGGTTATTGGAATTGGGTATGTCTGGTTTAATAAAAAGAAGGATGAGGGGTGACATGATAGTAGCATTCCAATATCTCAGGGGCTGCCACAAAGAAGAGGGTCAAGCTATTCTCCAAAGCACCTGAGGGCAGGACAAGAAGCAATGGGTGGAAACTAATCAAGGAGAGAAGCAACTTAGAATTAAGGAGAAATTTCCTGACAATTAAAACAATTAACTAGTGGAACTATTTGCCTCCAGAAGTTGTGAATTCTCCAACACTGGAAGTTTTTAAGAAGAGATTAGATAATCATTTATCTGAAATGGTTTTGGTGTTTCCTGCCTGAAGGTCCCTTCCAATTTTGTTTATTCTATTCTATTCTGTTCTGTTCCGTTCTTCTGCTTTATCATCTTCTCTTTCTCTTCTTCCTCCTCCTTAAAGAAAGTTCTAAACAATTTAAATACTTAACACTCACTTTTATATTAATTGGATTGGTCTTTTGTAATTACCTGGTTATTCTTCCATGAGCTATTTATAAACAGCACAGAAACAGTCATGGGTGCAAACTGAAGATGAAGGACATTAAATTGTACCTGCTTATAAAGTTTGTCAATGTCTTCCAGTCGGTCAGTTATCTCTAGCCAGAGTTTGGATGAATATTCCTGTATTTTTTCCTCATACTGTATTTTCAGAATATTTTTATACATTGCAAAGTCATCACAGAGAGAGTATGCAAACTAAAAATTCAAAAAAAGATAAATGTTAAATAAACTCATAATTTATTTTGGAACTGTTGTGATTATGAAAAGTGGATACTGACTATGATGGATTTATTTACTTTGGTTTCATTTTCTACCTCAATGTTTTGTGGGTAATTGAAAATAAAGAAGAAATAATATGAAAGCTGATCAAAAATGCAAATGTAAATATCAGTGAAGCAAAGATCTTTACAAATATTGAAGTATAATGATGACCAAAGACATATGAATCCCATACAGATTTTATATATGAACTAGCCTTATCTAAACAAGGGCAATTAATCACATGGACTGCAACAATTCAATGTAATTCTTTTTTATTAAATAAATTTTATTAAATTTCCAAATTTTAAAAACATAAAATAAAACTTCGTACATTGTTATCAACATCAAGACATCTTTTGCATCTACTCACATTTTTCAGTATATGTATTTACTTATTCCTTTACCATTACATCTTACTCTTACTATAAATCAATATCTTTTATCCTTACATCTCAATCTTCTCCATGGTATATTTACATATTTACATATTCCCTCATTCTTTTCCTAATTGCCATTTTATTTTCTTTTTATTTCTAAACCACTCATACCAGGCATCCCAGGCCCTATAATAAATTGAATCCTCTCTGTCTTTTATTTTCATCGTTAGCCTGTCCATCTCTATACAATCTATTATTTTTTTTATAACCATGCTTTCCACTGGAACCCTTTTTCCCTTTCAGAGTTGTGCGTACAAAATCCTTGCAGCTGTTAATATATGTAACATAATATATCTATTTTATTGCATTTTTGTGTTATTATACCTAATAAAAAAGTTTCCGGATTAAATTCAATTTTCTGATTCATGATTTCTTCTATCCATTGTCTAATTGTATTCCAATATTTTTTCACTTCCTGGCATATACACCAGGTATGAAAATAAGTGCCTTTTTCTTTTCCACATTTCCAACAATTTGAGTCTGAATTAAACATTTTTGCCAGTCTAGCAGGAGGAAGGTGCCATCTGTAGAACATTTTGTATTGATTTTCCTTGTATGCTGTGGATGTAATTAGTTTGTAATTTGATCCCCACATTCTCTCCCAATTTTTTATATTGTGGTCTATATTGTGGCCAACATTTTTCGCCCATACCACCACCGTCTCTTTGACCACCTCCTCTTCCATTTTAAAATCTAGTAGAAAGTTACATATTCTTGAAATCATTTTCTTTTCCATTTCTTGTAGAATTTTATCTAATTGATGCTTTTCCATGCAGAAACCAAATTGTTCTTTGTCCTTCTGATATCTCACCTGAATTTGTATGTATGGCCACCAATCTATCTTTATATTTTGTTGCTCTAATTCTTGTCTTGTTTTTAATCTTTCTTTTTTCCCAGATCCATTGCATTTCGGTAGATTTGTGCTTCCATAGTTGACAACCAGTTTGGTATTTTAGTGTAATGACTCTTTTTAATCTTGTTCCATGTCTGAATTAATGAATCTCTAATCATGTGTCTCTGAAAATATGCATGCTGTTTACATTTCCCATCACATAGGAAACTATGCCACCCTCTCTGCAAGTCGTGATATTCTTCTATTTTCCAGGTTGATCCAATCTTTAATCCATACCATAGCCGCAGCCTGATGATACATTTCCCAGTCAGGGAGTCCAAAGCCACCCCTTTCTCTTTTGTCCTGTAACAATTTCATTTTTATCCTAGCTTTTTTCCCATCCTAAACAAATTTACTTATTATTCGATGTAATTCTTTAAAAAAAGTTTTACCCAATCTTATTGGTACAGTTTGAAAAAGATATAGCATTTTTGGTAGGGTAGACATTTTAATTGCCTCAATTTTCCCCAGTAGTGATAGCTGTAATTTCCCCCACATTTCCTATTCTTTTTTGATTTGTATTATTAATTTGTCATAGTTAACTTTTTTGATTGAAGAGCATCTTGCTGTTAACCAAATGCCTAAATATTTTACCTTTTTCACACTTTGCATTCCCAATTTTCCTTCTAATTCTTTTTTTGCTTATCTTTTAAATTTTTAGTCAATAATTTTGTTTTGTTTTTATTAATCTTAAGGCCTGCGACCTTGCCAAATTCCTCTATTTCCTTTATTAATTTTACTTCTATATCATTTGGATCTTCCCCCCAAAATACTATATCATCGGCAAATGCCTGGACCTTATAGTGCTCATTTTTAATTAAATCCCCTTTGATTTGTACATTTTTCCTAACGTTTTCCAATAAGTTTTCTAAGGTAAGAATAAAGAGAAGGAGTGACAGTGGGCATCCCTGCCTTACTCCCTTGTTGATCTTGAATGTTTCCGTTCTGTCACCGTTCATTATTACACTGGCTGTCTGTGTCATATAAATTGTCAAAATCAGTTTAATAAATTTATTGCCAAATTGCATGCTTTTTCATTGTTGTATTATGAACTGCCAATTAACATTGTCAAATGCCTTTTGCGCATCGAGGAAGACCGTTGCCAATTGTTTTCCTGGGTTTGCTTCATAATATTCTATTATATTCAATACCATTCTGGTATTACTTTTAATTTGTCTACTCGGTAAGAATCCGTTTTGGTCAATTCAATGTAATTCAATGTACTCTCTAACTTCAAACTGGAGACTTATAATAAAACAAGACAGGGTAAAAAGCACAATAAAGATAAAAAGAGAATATCTGAAAAATGGTAATTAAAGTTACCTCTAATAAAGTTCTTGTCATTGCTGTAGACTGTTTTAGATCTCCTACTTCACTTATCTCAGTTTGGGTGGCATGATCAGAGATGAGAAAACCTATTTTTAGGTCCTCTGAAATGCGAGGCCTGCAGATTTTTTAAAATAAAAAGTAGTTACTTTAAACAGCAGATAAGCTTTGCCTAATAGAAATTAGCATTTTAATGTAGAAAATGATCCATTTCTGTTTTAATTATACATATTCAGTATTATAAACAGTATTGTAAATTAATTCCCATGTATCTTCAAGCAAGCCTCTTTGTAGTTCCTTGGTTTTCAACTTGAATACAATGCTTTTGACGATAGATCTCATACTTCATTTTTGTTTTTATTCTGCAGTAGAATGTTATAATTCTCTCATTTGGAAGATGGTATAGCTAGGAACTAGCGAAGGTAAAGAGCCCTTTACACAATCAGAACTTTTATTCCTGATAATAATGTGAAATGGCTTGCCATTTCATTTTCTTCCTAAGTTTTTTTTTAAAGTTTCTCAATCTAGCCTCTGGAGTTTGCTAAGCATTTTGGCTAAATGTTAACCAGGTCTAATTCACTACTTTATCATTCTGAAATTAGCTCAGGTTAGCTGTGTGCTGCCACCTGATGGGCATTAGAATAACAGATATGAAATTGTCTAAAGTAAATTCCAGATTTAATTCAGGACATTTCTTAAAACAGTAGATGATATGGAAAATCTACATTTGAAATCTAGATAACTGCATCCAGTACAATTTGCCCATCTAACCTATGAATGAGTAACTGTCTGACCAGGTAATTTACATAATGCTCTATTCCAATACAAACCAATTTCAAACAAAAAGATGTAACCAATAATTCCCACAAAGAACAGCAACAAAAATTAGGGGTGCAAGATAAACTCAAAAACTTAAATTTAATTCCTTTCAATCAGGGTCAGCGCACAGCTCTTTCCCAATTGTTTAAGACCCATGTACTCAACATACTCGTAGCTCATGTTACCCAAGATAAACTCTTACCTCTTATAAACTAGACTCCCATTGTTCATGTATCTCTAGCCTGCCCTAATGTTCTTTGAATCCCACCCCCTTCCACCTTAGTCTTTCTCTTTCTGGTTGTGTCCACACAACATGTTTTTCTAGGTGTAATTACTATGGTTTACTCATTTCAGTTTCCTGGGTTCCCAGTGAATGAATGAATCTAAACCGAGAAGCTAGGATTGCCCAATATATTAGACCAAAATGTGGTTGACTAATTCATGGTTCAGTGGGATTTGTAAACACAGAATCTATTTATGCAGCTAACCAGCCCACTTAGATATGTCAATGAGTCATCTTCAGTGCTCAAATAGTTTCTATGTTGATGTCATATCTATCCATTGCCTGGTTCTTGCAAAAGCAGGCCATACAACCAAGCCAATACATAATAAATATTCTAGTTCCAACATATTTTGAGTTCTACTTAGACATAAGCCCATATCAAAGAAGAACACTAAATACTTATATAAGCAGCAATGTATGACGTGTGTATTATACATAGAGGTCTTAAAATACAATATAGAAATGACAAGTTTTCTTTCTTTCTGTCTATGAGGATCATATCATATATTGTAGTTAAAGTTTTTAAATTCAATGTAACAACTTGAGTGAAATAGATGACTGCTGTTCCATTAAGTGACCCACAGATCTGCAACCTTTAAAGCAGGGGTGGGCAAACTATGGCCCGCGGGCCACATCCGGCCCGTTGGTCTGTCCAATCCGGCCCGCCCCTGAAAAAAATCGCTGGGCATGGCGTATTGCCCTGCGCCGTGTGGCCCCCAAAGCTGCAAAACAGTGCGGAGCGCTCTCGGGGTAGGAAATAGAAGAAGAACCTCGCAAAGGCCTCAGCTGGGAATTCGAAATCACCTTCGAGTGCGACCTCTCCGAAGGTGAGTCCCCACTGATCCCCCCTTTTTTCCGGAGCTTCCAGGCTTAAACTTTGCAAAGGCAAAGTTTGCAGGCGGGAGCCTCTTCCCCCTGAGGAGTGGGAAGGGTTCTGCCCGGCGGCCGGGCGGGCTGCTTGGAGCCACCTAAAGCTAGGCCGCTGCTGGTGGAGCCTTGCCCTGCCTTGGTGCCCCGTTTCCCGGCTCCGTGGTCCTGCTTGGGCGGCACTTTAAAAGCCTGCTCCCAGCACCCAAGCAACTTCCCAGCAACTTACGGCTTCCTTTTTCCTCACGGGCGCTCGCGGAGGGGAAACCCAGAGCACCGCCGGCTCGCCTTCTCCAAGCAGCCCGCCCACCCACCGGGCAGAACCCTTCCCGCTCCTCGGTGGGAAGACGCTCCTGCCGGCAAACTTTGCCTGTGCAAAGTTTAAGCCTGGAAGCCCCGGAAACCCGAACAACTTCCCAGCAACTTGCGGCTTCCTTTTAACTCGTGGGCACTCGCGCCTGGCCCCGAGCCGCACGGCGGAGGGGAAGCCCGGAGCGCTGCCGGGTCACCTCCTCCAAGCAGCCCGCCCGCCCGCTGGGCTTCCCCTCTGCTGCGCAGCTCGGGGTCAGGCGCGAGCACCCGCGAGTTAAAAGAAAGCTGAAAGTTGCTGGGAAGTTGCTTAGGTTTCCGGGGCTTCCAGGCGGGAGCGTCTTTGCAGGTGGGAGCGTCTTCCCGTCGAGGAGCAGGAAGGGTTCCGCCCGGCAGGTGGGCAGGCTGCTTGGAGGAGGCGACCTGGTGGCGCTCCGGGCTTCCCCTCCGCTGTGCGGCTCAGGGCCAGGCGCGAGCGCCTGACAGGAAAAAGCAAGCCGCAAGTTGCTGGGACCGCCGCGTGGCTCGGGGCCAGGCGCGAGCGCCCGAGAGGAAAAAGCAAGCTGCAAGTTGCTGGGAAGTTGCTCGGGTTTTGGGGCTTCCAGGCTTAAACTTTGCACAGGCAAAGTTTGCAGGCGGGAGCGTCTTCCCACCGAGGAGTGGGAAGGTTTCTGCCCAGCGGGTGGGCAGGCTACTTGGAGGAGGAGCTCCGGGCTTCCCCTCCACCACGCGGCTCGGGGCCAGGCACTAGCGCCCGAGAGGAAAAAGCCACAAGTTGCTAGGAAGTTGCTTGGGTGCCGGGAGCCGCCATCGTGGTGAGCGGCTCATCGGGCGCATATGCGAGGAGGAGGGCTTTTAAAGTGCCACCCGAGCAGGACCGCTGAGCTGGGAAACGGGGCACCAAGGCAGGGCAAGTCTCCACCAGCAGCGGCCTAGCTTTAGGTGGGCTTGGATGCCCCTGAGCGCGGTTTGCTGTTTGTTCTCTCCTTGGGCTCATGTTTGGAAAGCGTGGAAAGTAGTAGCAGGAGCAGCCGTG